ACTGCACTTACCAGGCTTATCAGCGGCCACCTTAAGTCCCTTTCTTTTGAGGGTAGTATTAAAATCTACCCTAACTGCCCCAGGTGCCACAACATGCAGGCTTCCCCCCAACATATACTGGACTGTCTAGGTCTGGACAAAAAGGACATTCTTAATAACACACTTATGGTGGCCGACTTCCTCCGGGTGATGAATTTCATGGACATAGTTTAGCCCTGCTAATTTTGGGGATAAGGAAGAAGAAGAAGAATATATATTTCCATTTTATTTTTTTCTTGAATTAAAGTTTTCAACAAAAAAAATTTTTTTTTAAACGAAAATTTGAAAACAATTTTCAGTTAAAATATATTTTAAAAAATGAATTTTTTTTTGTAGAATAGTGTTATTTTTATATTGAGTGTTATTGACTGAACTTTTGTAAATAAAATTTGCATTGTTAAATCTGAGTAATCAAAGCTTGTCATTGGTATTTTTTGTATATTATTATTATTTTTTGTATTTTTTGAAGTTTTTAGTAGATGGTTGCATAAATATTGGACAAATAGGGAAAATAGATTTTTTAGATTTAATGATTTTTTTTGAAGTATATATATATATATATATTGTGTATATTGTGCAGTAGATTTTCCTATATGTAGAAAACTTCCTAAAGTGGAAGTTTAAGGCTATAGGAATTAAATAAGGTGAATTGATATGAATTTTTCACTACTTTTTATTAATAAAACTTCTTCTCAATAATTGGATGCTAGACATTTTTAACTCCTTATAAATATATAGTTTTTGTACTTTTAATATCACTATTTTGAGGATGACTTGAAAATTGTCGCAATAGCAGATTTCTCTTAATATGCCATACTCGTTAAAGCTTTTACTGTATTCATAATTCCATATTTAAGAAAACTTTGTTTTTGATACGGAATTTACTCAAAAGTTTGAAAAATATCTTCTATAGAGCAAGATTTTATACAGTTGAAATGTTTTACATCTTTATCAAAAATAATTGAATATATACATCCCACTCTACTTATACATTATAAAAACTGAACTAATAATTTTAGTGATTCAAATAGTTTGAGTACAAAATAAATGATTTCTACACGGGATATGCCCATATTTTTAAAGTAATTTAAGTATCTAATATTTCAGTAATCTTCAACATCACTTATACTTTTATGTTTTTTTCTTTAATTTTTATATTTTGTTATAATATATATTATGTGTATCTTTGATAAATTATTTAACCCAAGCCAATTTAAATAATTATCATTTTATAAGAACTTAATTTTAAAACTGGTGCTGTTCATTTTTGGATATTTCAGTTATAGTTTTATTATTTTGTTTGCCAAATTAGCTTTCTATAAGCTATGCAATAATCACAATATTGCAATTTTCTGTGTATGAAGCTTATATTTTACATTCCAATAAAATATAGAAATTACCTGAATTTTAATATTAACATTCAAAAATGTATAAATGTCAAATTCAAAAATGTTTTAAAAAAATTTCTGTTGGTGAAATTATTTCTTAAAATAATATTAATCAAATATTTATTTACAAATAGGAGATATATAATCAAAATGTGTTAAACTTAGCTTTGATTATTTTTTNTAGCAGATTTCTCTTAATATGCCATACTCGTTAAAGCTTTTACTGTATTCATAATTCCATATTTAAGAAAACTTTGTTTTTGATACGGAATTTACTCAAAAGTTTGAAAAATATCTTCTATAGAGCAAGATTTTATACAATTGAGATGTTTTACATCTTTATCAAAAATAATTGAATGTATACATCCCACTCTACTTATACATTATCAAAACTGAACTAATATTTTTAGTGATACAAATAATTTGAGTACAAAATAAATAATTTCTGCATGGGATATGCCCATATTTCTAAAGTAACTTAAGTATCTAATATTTCAGAAATCTTTAGTGTAATTTTGCATAAATATCCTTTTTGAATATAATAGAAATCTTCAACATCACTTATACTTTTATGTTTTTTTTTTCTTTAATTTTTATATTTTATTATAATATATATTATGTGTATCTTTGATAAATTATTTAACCCAAACCAATTTAAATAATTATCATTTTATAAGAATTTAATTTTAGAACTGATGCTGTTCATTTTTGGATATTTCAGTTATAGTTTTATTATTTTGTTTGCTAAATTAGCTTTCTATAAGCTATGCAATAATCACAATATTGCAATTTTCTGTGTATGAAGCTTATATTTAACATTCCAACAAAATATAGAAATTACCTGAATTTTAATATTAATGATTAACCATCCGGAGCCAGACTCCGGCTTTCAAGGGTCTGAGTTAAACTAGTGAGTTTAATACTAGAGTAATCAACCTCTTTAAATTTTAAACCCTGATTACAGAATGAAGTCAAAATAAAATAACATATAATAAACAAAATAAATAAAAAGAAATCACAAAGTATTGAAAGAAAGAAAAACTAAATAAATTTATAAAAGATATATATTTCTCTCCAATAGGTTAAATTACTGAATCAACATTAATATTCATTTTAACTATGGTGCTTCAAATTTCTCACTTTTCATCAGTAAACAACTATTAGGTTTGAAGTTTCTTTAAACAAAATTAACTATCACATTTTTTAGACACTTACTTATTGCTATGTTGGCTCTTGAAATACTCATCCATCAGAGCAAAGTAGGTCAAATTACCCTTTAGTAAGAAGGTTTAAGACTGGGCTAAAGAACTGTGTTTGACCCCGTTCTTTAGCTCTTAAAAAATTATTTATAAAAAATATTTTTTAATTTGACAGAGTTTATAAATTAAGTAAAAAGTATTGATGTAATTAGGGGGGGGGGGAAATATCACAAGCTCTTACATAATTATTAATTTTAACATTGAAATTTATTACATTAAGAAACGTATGAATTAAGAACTATGCAAACCTTCCATGTTTTCCCTAACCACTACCAAAGTTGATTTAATAAAAACATTTAAAAAGCACCCGACAATGTAAAAACGATTAACAAAAATGTATTTTGGGCTTCAGAGGGCCTCATCTCCTAATAAAACTTTTAAAAAAAAAGAAGAAAAAAGTGGAATCTGGGGGGCCCAAGCTACAGCTTATTTAGCTTATACGTAAATCCGGCTATGATACTGGATACCGTTAAACTATCTGACTAAACAAAGTTTTGAAACTAAAAATATTATATTTTGTAATTCTTTAGCGATAAAATTCACTTTTAATGTACTTAAATGAAGCAAATTATTATTTTTTCTAAATTTGTCTTTTTTTTAAAAAAAAGAAAAAAAAAGCAGTCTGGTATATAAATACTTTGCAAAAGAAATGTTCTTAATTTTTTTCTTTGTCTATCACTAAAACAGAACTACTGTTCACGATTTGAGTATTCTTAGCCTGCACTCTTTATGCTAATTATGAAAATGGAAATGTCTATGCGAAGAAGAGTCACAGTTAATAGAAATAAAAAGCATTTGTAATCTAATTTTTTAATATTTGAAAAATTACTAAAAAATTAGATTACAAATGCTAAGACTGCATTATTTAAGTTTACAGAACTTTGCAAAAATTAAGAATTATTTTTTGATTTCTTATAATTTTCTTGTAGGTGGAAAAATCTGGTCAAATTAAAAACTTTGGACAGCTTTCCTGACCAAACTTTTATGACCATATTTCCCAGATAGCTAGAAATATTCCCCTTCATTTTGGGATCAGAAACTTTTATGGATAGTCTGCTTTATAACGATTGAGTTATTATTGAGAACTTAACTATCTGGAAATTAAACTTTCTTGAATATAATGAAAAACTTTCACTTTCTACCTGAAAAGAATAGTTCTACAGATGTTTATACGAATTTTTGAGTAGCCAGGATGTTAATTGGGAAGGGCTGATATGTTGATATGCTCCTATCTATTACTTTATATTTTATTTTTATCTCTCTAACTAGTACATAATATGATTTGGGCTAAAAATATGTAAATGAAAATAAATAGAAAAATTTTTTTACAGATATAGAAAGGGCATTTTATTACACTTTTCGGAAAAGAATATTCATAAATCTAAAAATAGATTTGTACTAAAAATTATGCATATGATGTCTAATTTATTGCATATTATAAAATCAATGAAATTTTGCATGTCTCTCGGCCTTAATTTCACTATGAAATGTTTAGGGGTTACTGAGACGTTACCTTAGGGTAGCTTAGGCAGAGTGACCCAGGTCAGAGGGAAGATACTGTACAAAGATAACTTTGGGGGTTTAGCACAAGGTCGATCACTTTACTAAAACAAAATTCCCCAACTACTTAGCAAGGAAAACAGTGAAAAGAAACAAAGGTTACCCACAGGATAGCCAGATCTAAAACAGATGGAGATTCTTAGTGTTTGATTAATGTCAGGTGAAGAAAATGAAGGATTGATGTACAACAGGCTGTAGTGCTTAGACGTTAGAAGTGCTGAAATACCTTTAGTAAAATATCACATTAATTACTAAGGATGCTTTTGTTTCTTAAAAGAAAATATTTAATAATTTTAAAAACTGGTATCGAAGAAATTTTCCTCTTCTGAATTTGAATTTCCTTCCTCGAAATTTTCTTTCGAACCTCGTTAACATGACATTTGCGGGACTATCATAATTATTTATGTTAACCAGATTTCATCTTATTGGATATATTATGAACACAATTTATTACGTACTGTTAATGCATATCATATACTACGCTTGTGTACCAAGCAAATTAAAATAAGCTTAAAAATTTTAATAACATTATTTAACTGTTTTATTTATTTACCCATCTGCAACTCCTAACAAACGTGGATAATAGAAATAGCATTCCTCAAAATGAATAATTGGCACATTATGCACATGCTTCTTATCTGTGTTGTGACCTTTTATGTAAAGCGATAATCAGCAAGAAATTTTCATGTAAATATTATGTAAAATACAATAATAATTTATTGCTGACTCCCGGGACCAAACATATATNTCTAAAGCGATAATCAGCAAGAAATTTTCCTGTTAAATATTATGTAAAACGCAATAATAATTTATTGCTGACTCTCGAAACCAAACATATATTTCATGTAAAGCAATATTTCACCCTAAGTGATTTGCATTAATGAGGTTTGACAGTGTTTCCTTTTTTTTTCATATGAAAAAACTTTGATATTTTTACGTTTTTCGTTCATGTGGGAAATGATAAACACAAAAGAATAAAAAATATTGTAATCAACATATTTAGGTATAACTAACTTCGTAACTGCCCTTGGAAATTCTCTTAAGTTTTACTTTAAAACAGAGAATTCCTTTTTTGATTCTAGTTACTGTTTCACCTTTTGCCTGGCAATGTATTCATGTCATGATGTCTTATAGTAATTGTCGCTTGTCGTAATGGTATTTCTTGATTTTATTCATTAAGTATCAGAAATATATCGTAACTGATTTTATATATTTACTTATAAATTATATTCAAAACTTATTTTTAATTAGTCTGAGCAATTTCAAGAAGACTTGTTCCTGACACTGCTGCACCTACTCCATCACTTACAGCTAAAGAATGGCTGAATGGAAAAAACAGAAATCCTATTCTGATATCCATGTATGTAGGTATGGTAATAGTCATTGTATGTTTCGTAATAACTCTAGGTAAAAAAAAAATTAAACTGCATAGCTGCCAGCTTTTATGAAAAGATTGGAAGATTCCTAACTTTTGGGGAAATCTTTTATGCTCATAGAAAATATTCAAGCCTTACAAACTTCTGAATTATTTTTTTTAACAATATCAAAATAAATTTTAATTTTAAATATTACTACAAATTCTACATTACATTTTCACTCAGTTGAGTTTTAGTAATCAAGCATTCAGATGCATTTTTGAAGCAAAAGATTTAGAATACCACTTTATTAGAGTAAGCAAATTTTTTGTTTCTTCTATCTAAGAGAAAATTGTCTGCATGTATGTTGTGTATATAAAATCTTAGTGCTGTTAGAATTTCTGAATTTTAAACTCATTTTTGGTTTACTTTGAAATAACAAGGAAAATCCCCTAGTTACTCCAAAATGTTTCCTTTTATTTCATATATTGCACCTTATGAAAAATCTTTTTTTTTTTTTTAATTTTGTAAGAAAAGTGATAAAACCTGCAGAAGTAAACTCCTTAAATTATACTTATATATAGGTATTTTGTGTGAAAAAATATAAATTGATTTTTCAAAACACAAGAAACATTTTTAAACAAATCTATATATCATAATCTCTATATATCTTCAATTTCATTGAAGATATTTAGAGATATCACTATTGGCAAAAAAATATCTAAATTCGCAATTGTAAATATTTTGTAATTTCAAAAATGCATTTTCGAAATGTTTCAAAGTACTCATTCACTTTTTCAATGATAATATAATTAAAAAAAAGAAAACTAAGGAAATTTTCTGGAATACAATTAATTAACTTTAAAAGAACACATCTATCTAAATAGCATGTTGATTTCTCTCTGTTTATTAGTTATGGATTAAAAGCATGTGTAATGAAATATTCTTGCTGCATTTTGTATTATTTTAAGTGTGAAAATTTTATACATTATTTGAAAAGTTACTATTTTTTAAAAAAAATACTTTTATCAGAAATATTTATTAATGAAAAAATGGATTAAACATAATAAAATATGTACTAAAAACGAAAGAAATTTTTAAATTAATGAAAGTTATAAAAAAATTGTGTATATAAGAAACTCCTTCAGTTTTGTTTTGTCCATTCCAATGTTGACACAGTTAAAATAATAAGTTAATTGTGTGATTGTTTGAATTGCCTTGGAACCAGTTGTCCTAGAGTTTCTGATACTAAGTGAGCTTTAATGGTACCAAACCTTCCAATTTTACTTTTTAGCCAATAATCTCCATTTCATTCCTGTTAGCAAATTAAGTTAAAAACTATGTGTGTTGTATATAATATGAATCAGACTGTTTTGTTTTTATTATACATTTATTAAATAAAAATTAATAAAATAAATAAACTGTATACATGTAGAAAATTATTGGCAGCAATGTAAAGTAATTCATGAGAGAACTTCCAAAGTTGAACTTGAAGTATGTTTGATTCTCTGACAGCGATGCAAAGTGGGGTGGTGGCTGTGATAAGGGTAAAACACGTAAGCGTACATTTTTGAAATCTAACATATTGAGGGAAAAGACCCAAAATTCTTTATTAACTGTCTATTTTTTCTGTAGAACTATCTATTTTAGTCAGTCTTTGATCTGCAACTCTGTGCTATTGATGTCGCTGTTATGCTTATTTTCTTTTTTCAATAAATTTGTTAAGCTTAATTTTGAAGTTAATCATTGTCTCTTTTTTCCTCCTTAGTTCTCATTTCAATAATTCTAACCATAACATGTAAATGAAAAACTTAGAAATAATTTTGTTTTTAAATTGAATTGTGTTTTATGTTTTGAAATATTATAGACTGGGGCTGGAGCCAGAACCAATTTACCAGTGGTTTATTACCTGGATTGTCAGTACTGAATAATTGCTGACAGAAACAATGAAAGGAAGTGTATAATCATTTCAGAAGATAACAGAGTTGATTGCAGAGATCTGAGAAAAAAGAACAATGAAGATGCTCATCATAACAAGTAAAAAAAAAAATTTAAAAAATGAAACTAAAACTATTCTGTTCTAATTTACTCCCTATTATTAGGAATAATAGGGAGTAAATTAGAACAGAATAGTTTTAGTTTCATTTTTTAAATTTTTTTTTTACTTGTTATGATGAGCATCTTCATTGTTCTAAGCAGTTTTTAATAATATGTGGGCTTATTTTATGAATTTTTCATTTTGCTCTTACTAACATATTTTATACATTATTAAATTGTTCATTATTTTACCCATTAGTATCATTAAGTACAACTCCTTCTACTAGAAATTTTTTTATGGCTGTTACTGTCGGATACCTTGAGTTTTCATTGATTACAAAATAATATTAAAAAAAAAATGAATTTTTATAATCAGAGTAAATTAAAGTTTGATAAACAAATTTCTTTTTAAATATTGAAGAAAATACTACTATTTTGAGAAAAATTGTATAGGGCTACGTATATAATATTATGCTAAAATATTTTTGGAATTGATACTGATTTATCAAAGAAAATTCATTTAGCTTATTACCTAAAATTAATTTCATTACATTGTTTAAATTTTATTATTTTTGGAGTTTTATTTAATGAAAAGAATTGGTCATAAACTTGAACTTCTGTGATAAGTAACAAAATTCATAAATTCTGTGTTTATCTCTACAAATAAATTTGATGAGAAATGATCAAATGAAGGAACACATTACACACAAGAGAATATAGCTCCCCTGTGTTAGGCTCTTTTTTTTTTCTCCTTATGCTAACCTTTACAGTTACGCACATTTATATAAACAAAGCTTGTCATTGATTCTTAATATGCCATACTCGTTAAAGCTTTTTTTTACTGTATTCATAATTCCATATTTAAAAAAAACTTCGTTTTTGATACGGAATTTACTCAAAAGTTTGAAAAATATCTTCTATAGAGCAAGATTTTATACAATTGAAATGTTTTACATCTTTATCACAAATAATTGAATATATACATCCCACTCTACTTATACATTATCAAAACTGAACTAATAATTTTAGTGATTCAAATAATTTGAGTACAAAATAAATGATTTCTGCATGGGATATGCATTTTAAAGTAATTTAAGTATCTAATATTTCAGAAATCTTTAGTGTAATTTTGCATAAATATCCTTTTTGAATATAATAGAAATCTTCAACATCACTTATACTTTTATGTTTTTTTTTCTTTAATTTTTATGTTTTATTATAATATATATTATGTGTATCTTTGATAAATTATTTAACCCAAACCTATTTAAATAATTACCATTTTATAAGAATTTAATTTTGAAACTGATGTTCATTTTTGGATATTTCAGTTATAGTTTTATTAGTTTGTTTGCCAAATTAGCTTTCTATAAGCTATGCAATAATCACAATATTGCAATTTTCTGTGTATGAAGCTTATATTTAACATTCCAATAAAATATAGAAATTACCTGAATTTTAATATTAACATTCAAAAATGTATAAATGTCAAATTCAAAAATGTTTTTAAAAAATTTTTGTTGGTGAAATTATTTCTTAAAATAATATTAATCAAATATTTATTTACAAATAGGAGATATATAATCAAAATGTGTTAAACTTAGCTTTGATTATTTTTTTAATTGTTAGGATTTGGCCATTAGTTAAGGAAACAATGGTTGGAAGATATTGAGGTGGATGTTAAAAACTGGAACTTTAAAATCCAGAACCGTTATTAATGATTAACCATCCGGAGCCAGGCTCGGGCTTTCAAGGGTCTGAGTTAAACTGGTGAGTATAATACTAAAGTAATCAACCTCTTTAAATTTTAAACCCTGATTACAGAATAAAGTAAAAAAAAAAATATATAATAAACTGTTAAAATAAATATGAAGGTTTAATAGTACTGAGTAATTCGTTAAAACAATTTTATATGCATGTTTAATAAACGTAGTGTGAGGCGTGATGGCTCAGGGGATGGAACGTTTGCCTTCCAGCATCGGCTGATCGATACAAATTCTGTGCACCAACCACAGTACTGATGTAAAATATCCTCTGTGGTAGACAACAAAGGGTTAAGAGTTCCCTTGCCGTCAGGCTAACCGTGGGTTGTTTTCGTTGTTTTCTTCTCCTTCTAACACAAATACGGGTTAGTTCCACCAAAAAGTCCTCCACAAAGGCAAATTATTTCCAATACTTGATCCAGGAGTTTCCTTGTCTTCTGGATTGAGTTCAAAATTACAAGGCTTCAGAGTTGAACATTAGTAGTCATAAACCCAAAAAATTGGGTTGGCTGTTCAATGCTGGGTTATAAATCATCTAAATCACTGTACTGCACATTATTCCTTGCATAAATAGATTTTATTTTTAGACATATTAATAGAAGTGCCTATGCTAAATGGTAATTTATAATGATATTTAAATTTTAAAAAATGCTAAGTTCACATTATTTATTCTTTAATTAATTAATTTTTTTATCTTTAGGAGATAAGTTGGATCTGGAATGGTTTACTCCAACCTGTGAAGTTAACCTTTGTGGGCATGCATCTTCAGCTGTCTTATTCTTTGCTTTAAGTATGTCAATTTCTGTCTTATTTTTATTTATTTGTTTAATTATTNCTGGAATGGTTTACTCCAACCTGTGAAGTTAACCTTTGTGGGCATGCATCTTCAGCTGTCTTATTCTTTGCTTTAAGTATGTCAATTTCTATCCTATTTTTATTTATTTGTTTAATTATTTTTTTTTTTAATAATGTGATAGTTTAACTTGATTATATCCTGCTATCAGTTACTAACCATCAGCTGTGGATTGCTGAATGTATTTATATTGGTCAAATTTTACGACAAATTATTAAATTATTCATGTTTAAATTTATATATAGTTTATGTAATTGTAAATATATATGTATGTATATTTATTTATATATATGTATGTATATTTGTTTTTTTTTAAATGCATTTTTTCTTATAGAAATATCAGTGTTCGTACGTACTGAGAATATCGGGAAAACGCAATTTGAAAAATTTAATTTTACCCTAAATCTAGGAATTCTCAGAGAATTTGACACTTTATCAAATTACAGAATTTCACTCTTCTGTTGATTCGAGAAATTATTGTTGATTTTTCTGGTCCCATCTTCATTAGATGTGTGCTTGAGATTCTATTATTCTTAAGCGTTCTGGAATGTTGTCGAATGGATGTCTGAGTTAGGGAACTTAAAATTTCTGTCTTAAAAGTATTTTTTTCATTCCACTTTTGTTTCTTAATTTCCTTTATTCATTGTAACAAATTATTGTTTTATTATTTTGGACAATACATTATTATTACAAAAAAAAGGGTTTTTAGCATCTTTAATGCTTATTCATACCTATCAAGTCTCCTGTTTTTTTAACGAAAACTCCCTGTATTTTATGACTATTTCACATTCACCCTTATATTGTAAAATTTCTCTGTATTTTTTGAAGAAATTTAACAAAAAATTTAGCAATTATTATCCACCAATTGTAAAATCACTTCTCTTACTCCTCAGCAGATGGCGCTATAGCCAGTTTTGCAGTTCTTGCACTGCTTCACCCGTTAAACCGTATGTTGAGAGAATGCTGATGTGAGTTGTTTATTCACTGAATTGTTTTTTATCTGATAACGAATGTGTTATTTACTTACGGGAATCTTGTTACAACTTTGTGTTTGCATTGTATTGTTACTGATCGTCAACAAAAAATTGATATTTCGGTTTTCAGAATTATTCATTGTGTATGAAAATTAGGCAACTAGGAAACGAACTGTATGAAAACAGTTCCAAAATATTACAGATATTATGTTAGGGATGTTATGTTAGGGAGATTTTCCCAGTTTCTCTTATCACTTTCTGATAAAAAGCTTGTAAGCTTGCTTTTTATAAAAACTAATTTTTCTGGTAACTGTTATGAACAGAACTTTAATGAAAATTTCCTAGTCTGAGCAAATTAGCTACTTATGTTCGAAATATAATCATGTAAAAATTGTGTAAAATAAAGCTTATTAAAAATTATGA